TTTTTTTCATGTTTCTTTATTCAATTATTTCCGATGATCTGCAAGTGTCCTTATATTTATGACCAGGAAGTGTATATAACAGAACCTAAATGAGCATTTGGTTAAATCGACTAAACTATTTAGTCATAATGTTAAGTCAGGACAATGTTACCAAATTAGGATTTTAACACCTCACCTGATATATAATAATAATAATTAAAAAATTCTCATTTCAACGGATTTTATATCTAAATCGTGCTACAGCCGATTCTTTGATTATTATAATAATGATGAGCGCTAATCGCGTTACAACTGATTCAACTATATTCCAAAATCCACATTACTAAGGTAAATCTTACATGAATAATTCTCTAGTATTATTCCTTTAGATTACGAAGAACAAATTTGAGTTGCAACAACATTAATACAACATATAAGTTATCAAAGAGATGATGTAGATAATTTAATTGATAGATTAAATTTCAGTTCAACATCAACAGCAGATGAATATATATCAATTGATGATGATGAGATTAATGAAATGCAACCGACGAGGAAATTCTTGGTTCTTTTGAGCAAATCGAAGAGGAATATGTTATTATAAATAGTTTCAATAAATAAAGCTGTAAAATCTTTTGAAATTGCTTTTAATTTTTTCGAACAAAGTAATATGAATTAAAAGCTTTAAAACCGTTGAAAAAGAAGTATAATCATATTAGTATTCAAAATTCAATACAAACATTACTAGTTTTTCGGAAACTTCTAATCGAGGTTCCAAGCAAACCAAGAGTAAAAGATATACTAAAGAAAAGTGAAAGTGTTACCGTTGTTGATGGGTAAAATTATTATGGATATATTAAACTTCTAAGGGTAAAATTGATATAAAGTTTTGAAAAAACTTAAAATAATAAATTTTTAAAAAGTCCATGATAATGATGTAAATTTAACCGGCTAAGTTAACCGGTCCAACTTCCAAGCTCTTCAATAACAAAGTCTTGATAAAATTCATTTTCTATCTCCATTATTATTAAAAAATTAATTGTTGAAATGAATGAATTATTATATTATATTTATTAGCTACTAAACCATTTTACTCGCTCATATTTTTATTACTGTTACATGTGTATTCAATCCAGTTAACCTGATCGATTAATTTATTAATTTTAACCGATTAACTAAATTAATCAACAGGCTTAAAAACGGGTTAAACGGTTAACGGTTCCATTTGTCAATTCAAAGTATGCTTTACTTAAAATTAGGAATCCTATGACCGTGTGTTCGAATTAGTTGGTTTTTTTACCTAATTATTTATTGTCAATCCAGTACTTTTATGAATAAATAAATGCGTGTATTTAAAGAAACCTTTTTATATGATCATTTCCAAATGGCAGCTCTTCATCTTATTCCTGTTTCATGTCAAAAAAAGATTGTGATAAAAATTTTTGTTTGTAGAAATCGTTCCATCAAAAAAGCCTACAATTATTTAGAAGATGGTGAACACAATGACACGTCTGAAATGCAAAAATAACGCAATGATGGTGTGATTTTGTTGGATTACTTACGCGTAAGGCACCGAACGAATCACCCAAGTTTTTGATTCGTTTCATTCTATAGCAATCATTATCATTCATTAGTTATATTTATTATTTAGATTTAATAAATTTATTGATGAATTGTGCAATTGTAAATTGTATTACTTTTTTATTCGTCATCACGTTATCATTATTGTTATCAACTAATAGTATTATTATTATTATTAGTGATGGTGGCTGAAACTACCTACTTGGTGCGCTGAAATTGCCGAAATTAATTAGCCTAAACTTGGGCGAAACCAATTTTAATAATTGCTAAAATTGGTGATTGATTTAGATACTTATATGTTTATTATAAAAAAAATATTGGACCCACCATAGTATTTGGCGAAACACCTTTTTTTCAAAAATAGTTTCGGACATATGACTAAATAATATCCTTTATCAAATTTTAAATATACACAATCTTGGTTTAGCAGATAGGCAATTAGAAAAAATTTCCCAAAGATCATTATTATATTAATATTAATTAATATCAAAGAAATCCGTTATATTGATTATTATTATTATTAAACCAATCTTGGACCTCGATCCATTAATATCCATTAAATAAATTGAGATTCATTGTGTAATACAAATTATAAAAAAAAATTTAGGAATCCGTTTACGTGAAGCAAAGTAAATTTTTTTTTTTCAAAAAGAAATTAGCACTCGGTCGAATACTTTGGTGTGACATACATTATTTTAAAGATTTGCAATTTATTCATATTTGCTACTGTTATCTTTATATCTATTAATTGACAAATTAGCATTTTTTTTCCTAATAATCTTAAAAAAAATTTTTTCTTTAATTAATTTATTAAAATTGGTAAGTAGGAGAGAAAGAATATAGGTTAAATATATATATATGGTCTTATGATGATTTAAAGTTCAAAATAAAAATTTAAATTAATGATTTGTTTGTCACATTGTACAAAACATCATGTTTGTTATTGTTATTATTATTATTATAAAAAAAAGTTATCGAGATATCACGATAATAAAAATCTTGATCATATATTAATACAATATCAATCTAAATTTTTTCCCAATGAAAATTTTGGTTTTTTTTCTAAATAAATAAACGCACATATATAAATATTAACTGACGTACATTAGGAAAACATATTTATATTATCTTAAACACGCTCTTTCTTTCTTTACCTTTTTTCAAAATTTATTTTTCTTCGTTATATACACGCGTTCTCAAAATTTTCTTTATTTCAACAAATGGCACTTCCAAAAGTATTAAGTCCTGGTTTTTGGTTAGATAAAGTTCTTAGGATATTCTTAAACCTAGTATTGGCCATCTTGTTACATGTTTTACATTTGATTAAAGGTGAACAAGTCCATGTAAGAAAAGTTGAAGTTACCGTTAAAAATGTTCCCAGAAACAAAAACAATAAAACTAAAAATAATAAAACAATTAAAGATAATATTAATGACGTTGAAATAATCAAAAACAACATAACAAAACCCATTGATGTTTTTAATAGTCCCACGATAGATGTATTTTCTAAAAAAAATACCATCGATAGCAATGATAATGACAATAACAATAATAATAGTTACGAAATAGTCACTGGAACTCTTATTGAATTAAAACCGGATGAACTTGATGAAAATTTAATTGAAAAAAAAGAAATTTCTATGCCTTTCATTCTCAATACTATTAATGATATTATTACTAACAATCAACCTGATGATAAAAAAGAAGAATATCAATCATCAATTGATGAAGATGATGAATCGGTTAAAGAAGAGTATCAATCATCAATTGATGAAGATGATGAATCAGTTAAAGAAGAAGAGGAATTATTTCAAAACATTCACCATAATGTATCAAGTTTTGAAATGAAAACTTCTCATGATTATAGGAGCAATATCACGAAAAAATCTAACATTATACCATTTGAGGTAAATATTTGAAAAGTAAGAGATATGGGAGATATAGTAAAGATTTTGAAATTATTAATTATAATTTTAATTTATTTGTTTATTTACAGTTCCGTTGGAAACATGGTGGTAGCAGAGTCTTCATTACTGGTGACTTTGATAATTGGTCAGGTATGCAAAATGCGCATACGATATAGATTCCTGACAACCCAAGGATTAATATATGATGTTAATGTTATTGTTTATTGTTTATCGTTTTATAGCATGTAAACATGAAATGTCGAGAATTCCAAAAACAAATGATTTTGTTGCTATTATTGATATTGATTGCACTAAACAACATGATTTTAAATTTATTGTTGACGGTGAATGGTAAGAATAAATATTTATAAAGTGTTTTTAGAAAATATATTGAATGAATTAATCATTTGTTCATTTTTTTTTTTTTGCGGATATTTCGATCAAATAGGAAATTCAATTGGGATCTTGAAACACGTTATGATGAACGTAAGTTTAACTATTATTCATCATATATTGATATTATCTTTATAGCAAAGATGATAATGTAACAATAACCATAATGTATAATGATTTTCCAACTAGATGGAAATATAAACAATTTTATCTATGCTGCACCAACATCTGATTCTTTGAGTCCTGAATATAATGACAATGTTGGTAAGTATTATATCGATTATTATGTGTACGAAAATACTTTTAAATCTATTTTATATTTATTTTAATATATGTTTATTTTTGTGTAGGATTCCTCAATTCTCACTTTACTGCTGTATATTAAATAACATAAATAAATAAAATCATCCATTCTTGTAATATATTAGTTCTTATCTATATATATTTAGTCTTTTTGTTAACGTCGATTACTTGACAACTATGGTTGTTTAACTTTGGGCTAACCTTGTCAGTTGATTACTAGCAACCCACAATAATACGGTATTTGTTTAAACAATTAGTTTACAATTTACATCGGTTCTCGTTTACTGCCTCTTTCTTGTACCCAGAAAGTTTCGGCGAATTTGTAATGGCACAGGATAAATAAATAAAGATGGCCCTTTTACAAAGCTCAAAGGCCCCTATAAGATTCCTTTTTTATTTACTTGCGACCGATATATTTCAGTCGTTACACTACACTGTTTATATTTTTATTAGGTCGATTGCAATCTCGCTTTGGTTTATTTTAACATCCTTATGGGTTTGGTTATTATAACAATATCCTTTGCTTGCTCACTAAACCAAACAATATTGCCAATGCACACTAGTTACTCAACATTAACTCCACAATTGTTGTCTTTTCACCAAAGCACTTCGTTTTAAACAAACATAAAAACAACGGTTTTATTTTTTAAAAAGTTTAAGGATTCATTATAATTTCAATCGAGTATTTGTTTCCCAGCCTTTCCAAGTGAGGAGGACATGGATGAAATTAACCTCCCGCTTTTTCAAGTGAAGACTAGAATTGTTCAATGTCTTTTTATGTTGAAAATTTTCGTTAATTTAAAAATCATTTTCAAAAAAGGGAAATAGAAAGTCGGTACCATACTGAAAAAATTGACAGCAAATGCACACTGAAAAGGTCAGTACGGTATTTACCTTTATTATTATATTCATATTTTTTTTCTCGACATGGTACTCACTTGACTTCAGTACGGTACTGACTTTCTATATATCCTCAAAAGTAATATTTTTTTTTCAGATTTACCGCAAAAAAAAATAACAATTAAATCTTTTATTAAAATTTTTTTCTTGTTTATTGATTTTAAATAACTAATAATAATTGTAAAAATGATAACATGCGTGAAAAGAGACATAATTGTTTTTAAAAATAAATCACATCTTCCATCAGGAAATTAATTTAGCGTAAACTTACATAAATCTTACGACACCGATGTAATATTGCATAAATCTTACAGTGCCGACATAAGTTTTACGCTTTTTTATTATTAAACTTACAATTGACACGTGCAAATTTTTTTTATATTTTCCAGATGTCATTCGAGCCTAATATTTTGTGTATTCGCATTCCTCCCGGATCGAAGGATCTTTGCCTCATGTTCCTATTTCGTTATTATATTCCCATATAACTAGAGTAGTCTTCTCCCGTAAATTTACACTATTAGTAAGTATGTCAACAACTAAGAAGTGCAACTTGGGATGTTGCAGAATTTAGAACATAAAAGCTGTAATATAAGTGTCTGCAACTAGTTGCAGACCACATTACCAACAATGGCGCTATTATCAACAAGAGATATCAGCCGAATTCCATCAAATAATGAAATAAAGAAAGGTCAGAGTACTTTCGCCATTTGGTTTTATCTTGATACGTTTGTCCTATGGCACTTCCAAATTCCAAAACTTGTTTATATCTGTTTTCTGGAACATAGCGAGAAACTGGTTAAAGGTGGGTACTGGTACTTCAACAACAAGATGGATGCTTAACTCAGAAATCTTGTTACCAAAGACACTTCTAATTTTAATTATGGGGATGCCACACATAGTGTGTTACGCATAATGCTTTAGCTATGTTTTTTACAACGTTTATTTATTAATAAATATTTATATGTGCTATTTGGCTTTCTTATTATTATGTGCGCGAGAAAAAACATGATCATGACCTTAATATCACGTCTATGGCTTTTTAAAACTTTAATGTCAATATATCCATCACCAGACTGTCTATTTACATATCAGTAGTTAATTAGGGTAATAACTATCATATATGATTTTAATGTTAGGACATTCACATTTCTGAACAAATATAACAGGCAGGAGTGCATTTTGTAAATGAGTGCAAACCTCTTCTGCATGTTCCTTTTGTTCCTAAAAATTAAATTCCTGAAACGATGATTACAGTTTATTTCCACTAACAAACGCTAGTAACATATATCTCACTTGCAAATTCTTTTGTGTTATGCATAAACAATTGGGGTGTTGGATACAAACATAGGGAAATCAATTAGCAAGTATTTCGTGCCATGTAAAAACTTAAAAAGTGTTAATAGCTTTCTTTAGGTAGAAAACATTAAAAATGATTTTAATATTAACTTCTAAGAACCTTGTCTGTAACTATATATGCTACTCAAACTATTATGATTTTTGACATACCGTAATGTCATAATGTCATAAATATATTTAGACATCCATTTTCAAATTGTCATAAGCGTAATCGGTAATGTCATAATCATGTCGTGATAATATAATAGTAAGGGACGGAAGAAGATATTGGGTCACATATTAATATTCGCGATATTGGCCGGCACTTCGATAAAATAATAATAATAATAATAGTTTTTGTGGGAACGTAAGAAATTATTTTTTTATATATAGTAATAGCATTTGACCAAGCGGAATATGGATCTACCATTAGTTACTAACTACAGCCGTATCTCCATATAAGAACACCATCAGTAAAGCCAAAATGTGTTCTTGTACAGAGGGAACCTCCATTAAAGGACAATATTTAATGTCACTACATGTTGTCACTATAGAGAGGTTTATCAAATGATGAAAATAATAAATTAATATTAAAATAGTATAATGCTTTATTAAATTATATCAATAATGATAAATAATATCAACATTATTATCGATATTATTATCAATATTATCATTTTTAATAATTTCAATAATATAATCATCAATTTTTGGTTGTATTTTTAGATTTATCAATTAACTTCTCATAATAAGGAAGATATTTTCTAAACATTTCTAAACTTCTTTTATTATAATTATTTGTTGATCTTCAAATCTAATTACTTTCTTCAAAGATCCATAAGCTTTTTTAATCGTGGTGGTGGTTCTTCACTGTCTTCATCAGAATCTACATTAGCACCACCTTCAATTTGTGCATCTTCTAAAACCATTTCAACAATTTCTGTATCACTAAGAGTATCTTCAGTTACACGTGGTTCATCAATTGTAATAGTTGTTGATTATTATCATCAGTTAATGGATTTTAGTTAATGGATTATTAAATGGATCGGTAAATTCATTATCTTCATTTACCCTTGTTATAAATTGAGCTTGGACCTAAAAACAAAAGGTGACAAGAAAACTCTATGCAAAAAATATATAATTGAAAGGTTACTGACTTTTCAATATCTATGCCACTTTCAAATTGTCTTAGAACATGTGAACAATATAAATGTTTATATTTAGCTTTGAATGACTTGATAATTCCTGCATCCAGTGGTTACAGATGGGATGTAATATTGGGAGGAAAGATATTGCAATGTAATATTTGACAACTGAAAAGGGGCTTCACCATCATCTAAAGAATGTGAACTTGCATTATCTACAAGAAGTAATACTTGGCTGTTTTTATTTTGAAACTCTTCATTTATATGTTTTAACCATGACACTCAAATATCAGAATGCATCCAAGCTTTTGAGTTGTACTTGTAAATTACTGCTAAACTTTGAAATATTAATTGTAACAAAACATCCAAGTCTTTTAGAATGTCCAATTACTAATTGTTGCAATTTTCCAATACCAGTTGAATTTACACTAAGAAGAACTATTATGTGAGACTTGTCCTTAAAAAAAATTCTTTAGACAATATGTATGTATATGTGTTCATTAATAAAACTTTAATTTTCCCCTGCAATCCTAGATTTTGCTTGCCATTTGAAAAAAAAGTCCAGTTTAGTCTGCATTAAATACATTTACAGTATACATGTCCCTACACAAAGTTTAGATACTTAAAATGCACTTAAAATATACTTAAAAAACATACTTTTGATGGTAAACTAGCATACTTGAAATACACTTAAAATACACTTAAAGGTTACTTAAAACATACTTAATTTTGTTCATTATTAAAAAAGGTATTTTAAGCACTGTAGGGTGTGGTCAAAATTATTGAATTAAGTCATGATGCAATTAAAAATCAAGAAATTGAGGTTGCGTCACTTACCATAAATTTTATACAACTGACGCAAGATGCAATTTGTAACTCAAGACACAATTCGTAAGTAGTGTACAAGACATAAAATTTACATCATATTTATTGCACTATATATTTAAAATTTGCATATGAATTAATTTAAATTTTGGCCATATTTCTTAAAGGGTTTGCTACTTCATATGCGCTAATTTTGTTTGATCCCCAAAATTCAGTACGGTATGATCATAATGTTATGAATACTTTATACTAGCAAAAACCCATTGGTTTGACAGGCTGTTGATTAGTAAAAGAGTTTTTTTAGCAGAGCAAATAAATTTTTTTATCATTTTACTGACCATTTTACACATTAAAAATGCTCGTATTTAACTTGAGACACAATAAGATGTAAGGTTTGGAAATAAAGCCAAATCGGCCGATATGTTTGACTACAGCATAGTGGAGGCTTGTTGTTACACGAAAGGTTATACAGAACCCATTGTTCCTGAAACTTCATCAGTATATAGTTGTTACCTCTTTAAATTGGAGATCAAGTTCAGATCCAATTCAAATCCAGTTTATCACTTACTTTTTACTGCCGTGTATTGTAAAGTTACGTTACACGATATAAAAAATTAATGTAACATTTCAAATTTCCACTATATAGTTTTTTTTTAAATAAAGTTAAGGGTAGAGTGTAGATAACAAGAATAGCATATAGAACAAATAGTATATGTAGAGTAGGCGGAGATATATTGCTATCTTGTTATTGACTTTTACTACCATTCCTCAACACATCTATATAGTTGTTTTCAAAAATTCTATTTTTAAATGTTTCAATGATCCAAATTACACGAGTAAAACTAATATCACTTACCTTGATTAAAAACAGGCAATTTTCTTTTGGTATTAATTTATATTTATTACAAAGAAATAGACAAGATTTAAACAAATTATTAATCTTTATTTATTCTAAAGAAATATGTTTACAATAATTATTATTATTGTGTGTTACGGCTATTTTGGACTAAGTTTTTTTAAAAGAACAAAACCATCTCACAAAAGAATGGTTTTATTTACAGTATCGTGTTACACTCTATACACCAAAATTGGTTTTGTTTGGCATGATTATCTATTTTCTGGAGATCATTAAATTAATAATTACGCTTAATTTTTTATATAAAAACCAGAAATTTTTTTCCCGATTTAAAATTTTTAAAAAACGATTAATTAAAAAAAAAATATTTAAAAACATTAATCAGTATAACTAATAATCAATGAATCATTATCATAATAATAACAATAATTATAATAATCAAAATCCTAATCTTGATAACCATATTAATAACAGTTATTCTGCTCCTCCTTCTAATGAACAATCAAACATTATTCCTCAATACACTTCTGTCAATAGTAATTCGATTGACAGTAATCTAGTAGGCATTGTCAACAACAATAATTATTTAATTAGTCCCATAGTTGATACTCGTATCCATATGACCAACCATCATAGCTCAGCTATTAATAATTTTATTGGTCAAAATACTCAGCATCAAAATTCTGTCGACAGTAATCTCTTTGGACAGAATCATCAATTCAATCCTCGTCAAAATGCTGTCGTCGATAATAATTTCTTTGGAGACAATAATAATAATTTGGATGCGCGGAACAATAATTACAATAATTTCTTTGGCCAGAATCATCAACTCAGTCCTCACCAAAATTCTGTTGCTGGTAATAATTTCTTTGGAGACAATAATAATAATTTGGATACGCAGAACAATAATTACAATAATTTCTTTGGCCAGAATCATCAACTCAATCCTCATCAAAATTCTGTTGCTGATAATAATTTCTTTGGAGATAATAATAATAATTTGGATGCGCAGGACAATAATTACAATAATTTCTTTGGCCAGAATCATCAATTCAATCCTCATCAAAACTTTGTTGTTGGTGATGATTTCTTTGGAGACAATAATAATAATTTGGATACACAAATAAGAATTCTTATAGCAGTTCAGCTTCAAAATATCGTTAATCAATTGTTAAATCGTTAAATAACAATAACAAAATAAGAGATTATTTAATCATTTGTATTCTTTATTCAATTTATAATATAACGCAAATAAAAGTCTCTTTTTAAAATTCGTAATTTTGTGTAATTGAAAAAGGGTTGTATTGCAAAAAAATCGAAATACTCTCACATATGCGCTGATTTTGTTTGAACCCCAAAATCCAGTACGTATGATCATAACGTTATGAATACTTTATACTAGCAAAAACCCATTGGTTTGACGGGCTATCTAATAGTAAAATAGTTTTTTTAGCAAAGTAAATTTTTTGGGGGTTAATTATCATTCTATTGACCAGTTCACGCATCATGTGACGTCGAGACACAATAAGATATAAGGTTTGAAAAAAAGGGTCCAAAAAGCCAAATCGGCTGATATGTATTATTATTTTAATTTTTTTATTTCATATTTTATTTATTTATATATATCATGATAAATAATAAATAAATATAAATAAATAATATAGAAAAAAAATGATGTTATATATATTATCATTTTTAGAATAAAAATAAAAAATATAAATAAATAATATAGAAAAAAATTGATGTTATTATAATATTATTATAACAAAAATAATTGGAAAATTATTCCTGTTGTTTAAATGCATGTTTTGTACTCAAATTAAATCCAATTCGTGTCGCGTAACTTTCAAAACAAATGAGAATAATAAATTTATCTTTTTAGATCATCTGTTTTGTTTATTATTTTTCAATTGTTGTAAAAATTGACTTTAAAATGTCCACATCTGACCAAGAAAGACAACGTCAGACTCTATTACATTTCTGGAACCAGGGTGTGAGATCTGCTAAAGAACTTCACACTCTGACAAATATTCCCCTTTCTACTATCTATTTTAACATCGAAAAAATTAAAAATACAGGCAATATTTTGCACAAAGGTGGTAATGGACAACCAAAGAAGATTACTGCGGATACTGCATGTTTAATTGGACAAACTATTAGAAGAGATACTTCAGTTTCTGTAAGATCATTGGTGAACAAAGTAGCAACAAAAGGAATAGAAGTATCTCACATGACTATCTCGAGACATTTATCAAACCATGGTTATAAAAAAAGCCTTCCACAAGCCACCCCTATGCTAACAACAGTTCACAAGGAGAAAAGAGTTGAATGGGCAAGGAAACACTTGAATGATGACTGGTCACAGACATTATTCACTGACGAAACGGCCTTTCAACTGTTTAGGAATACAGTGGAACGTTGGCATAAAGGTGTGAAACCAGTTCGTCACATGCCAAAAGACAGAACAAAAATTTTAGCATGGGGCGGATTTTGTGTAAATGGATGAATGAGTCTTTTTTGCTTTAGTCAAATAATGGATGCGAATTTTTATGTAGATATACTTAGAAATCACATTCCAGAGGTTAATGAGATGCTAGGGGATGTTTGGTGATTTCAACAGGACAATGATCCTAAACATACTAGTAGAATCACCCGAGCATTTCTCAACGAAAATGTTCCTGAATTGATGGACTGGCCATCAAACAGTCCTGATCTTAACTCCATTGAAAACCTCTGGAGTATTGTTAAACGAAATGTTGAAAGAAGGATGCCAAACAATTGTAATGAATTAAAACATTTTATGAAGGAGGAATGGGATAATATTCTAAATCATGTTTTAATTAATTTAATCAACTCAATGAAAGATTGTTGTGAATTGATTATTGAAAAAAATGGTGAAAGAATACCATATTAATTTATAATAAAATAAATCTATAGGTAATAGTGATTAAAATAAGCTATTGACCATTCATTCCGGTTTTGTTGTTATTCTACAATATTCAATTTATTTTTTCCAATTATTTTTGTTACACACTGTATATTGATACATCTATTTTTTTTTTCTTTAAAAAATGGTTACTTATATATATAAAATAAAAATAATTTGTTTCAAACATCCTAGCTATTCCTCCTCCCTGTTTCAAGTAAGTTTGTCCTATTATTTCAATGGATTATTTTATTCCTAGTAAATTTTGGTTTTTTTGATTATAAAGTTTAAAACTAATGTCAATTTCCATAATGAAATAAAGGTCCTTAAAGAGAGCACAATTCTAAAACTTTGTGAGGTTTACGAAACCAATGAATCAATCATAAAGAACATTTTAGAAAACAATGAAGATCTTTTAAAAATATTGGATGATTCATTATTCAAGATAATAGGAATGTTAGATGATTATTTTTATGAGGACAGCGAGGTTGGAAATATCAATAACAATATCAACAACACTTCTATTAATGTTAATGTTGATGATTACGATGGAAATAATAATCTGAACACTGATGATGATAATAATAACTCTAATAATAATAACAATGATGAGGTTTATGATAAGGATAGGAATATCAATATCAATAACCCTTCTGTTAATTTTAATGTTGAACCACAAAACAATGAGTTGTTATTATTACATGATGAAGATAGTGATCTCTTAGATGACTATGATGTAAATAATAATACAAACACCAATAGAAATAATAACTTTAATAATAATAACAACAATATTAATGTGGAAGAAGAGGAAAGCATTTAACAAACTTATTTGTTTATTTATTTGTTAATTTGTTTTATTTTTGTCAACTAATACATTTGTTTTTAAAATTCTTACACAGAAATTATAATTTCTGGCCAAGAAGAAAAAGAATAAATCATAATGTAGGAAACTTACAAAGGAAATGTCAGCATAGAAATGTTGTAAGTATAAACTGAAACATTAATAATACATAACATTTTATTTAAATTTTTTGTTTACTTGTATTTATAGGACACGAGTTACAGTATATTCCAGATTGTCATAAGGAAGAATTAAGCTAGCAATGAACACATCCAGAGCAGTGTTGTCAACATTATCACCAACAGCATCTTTGCGAGAGATATATATAATTTAAAACATAATTATATCTTAAGATAAAATATTAATTTTTTTTTATTTTTACATACAGGAGGGTGAGGAATTGTGGACAGGGTGTCCAGTTCATTGTCCCAGGGTTGGTGAATGTGTGGTCCATTGGTGGTCCATTGATGGTCTATTGGTCCATTAGTGTAACATTTTAACTATATTTAGTATTTTATTAATGGCAATGGACCAGCTCAGTTCTCAATGGACCAGTCAATTTGCCAACCCTGCATTGTCCTGGTGATTTTTTTTGAAATTTATCAAATTTCAGGGTGGGCCAAGAGCTAAATAATAAGTTGTGGTTGATCTTCTCATTTAAATTTATTATATTAAAATGGATCTGTTTGTTTGAGCCATTGATGTTGATTCACCTTTAATTTCAATATAAATATATGTACTGCATTTATTGTGCAAAGTTGATTTTGCCTAATTATGCTTAATTATTATACATAAAAAATTAATTATAATTATTTTATTTAGAATAATAGTTGTTATTTTTTATTAATCACGAAAAGTAATTGAAAATTTGGTTATAATAATAATAAATAAGTTTATTTGGCTTTATTTATATCAAGGACCTACATTTTCAAAAAAACAATAATAATGATTATCATCTTTTGTCTCATTAATTTGTTAAATCTGTGAAAATTATTGGATCTAATCTAAAATAAAATATGATCAATTCTCTCAAAGATAACAATTAAATTTGTGAAAATTATTAAATCTGAAATACAATCAATTTCTAACCTTTGTCTCGAATAAAGATAACAATTAAATCATTAGGTCTAATCTGAAATACAACCAATCTCTAACCTTTGTCTCAAATAAAGATAATTTAAATCCATGAAAATTATTAGATCTAATCAGAAATACAATCAATTTCTAACATTTGTCTATTTCTAACCTTTGTCTCAAATAAAGATAACAATTTAAATCCATGAAAATTATTAGATCTAATCAGAAATACAATCAATTTCTAACCTTTGTCTCGAATAAAGATAATAATTAAATGAGAATTAGTGGATCTAATCTGAAACGAAATACAATCAATTTGTATCCTTTGTCACCTTAATTCATAGAATAACGATCCTTTACTAAATTTCTTATATAAAGGATGAATTTACTGCCATGTACCTGTTATAAATATTGTTAAAAAAAATATTAACCGTTTAATTAAAATGAATGCACAAAGAAATAATGTTGAAGGAACATCTGGACCTACTAGTAAAGGTAGCAGTAAAAAATGAAGGAAATTAAAAACTCTTACAGGTCTAGATCAATTTCCTGAATCTCCAAACTCAACATTCTTTGTTCCAGAAGATACAGCTGGTCCAGATTTGGTTTTTATGGTTCAATTTAAAGGTCTGATAAAAACTATACAGATGTACCAGTTTTTGTTCAAAACTATCAGTGAATATAAAACCAGAAAAGGCCATCAGAACAACAGATCCTAATGCATTTTATGCATATCAAAAGAAAGAAAATGAATTAGGTGATGATGAACCAAATTTCACAAATGAGCCACTTGTAAACCAAGAAAAGAGAAGAAAAATTATTGAAATTATTGATAAAAAGTTTAAGAAAGCAAAAAACAATGGTATCTTTTGGATTCGAATCTTGGTTGCATATCCAGCAAAAATTCAACAAAATAGCTACTGGAGAAGTATTGATAATAGGTGTACAGGCACCCATGTTTCAGAATTAATGATAATAATTGATAATGATGAAGCAAAACATTTTTTCAAGCAAGAAGAATTGAACACCTTGAATGCTTTAAAGAAATATCATCAAAAAATCTCCCAAAACAAATATCAATTTGGTTAATTTCTATTTTTTCGTTTAATCTTTGCGGATTGATTTTTACAAACTGTTCCACCATTGTTGAGTAATTATCATACATTACATGGAGATCTGTTAGCCGAGGTAAAGCTTCTGAAATTATACAAGATAATTTGATGATGACTTTTTTATTATTGCCATTTCCTAATTTAACTGAAATTCCAGTCTTATATTGATCTAACAAAGGTTCAAATAATATGTTCATGCAATGCTGAAAACATGACCGTTTAATTTCTGAATACAATTCTTTTAATTGATTTGTTGAAAATTCTAAATCTGATTCATCTGGGATGCAATTCACTTGCTCAACCTGCTTTTGCCTTTACCAATTATTAGAGACCTACGAAAAAGAAAGCCTTAATTGTCAAGCCAACTGCCAAAATCAATGAGCCGAAATCCTCAGCAAACATTATCAAGACCACATCATCCTGCACTTAGCCCAAGCAGAAGCTGAAAAGGAGGAACATGACTAAAGCCCGGAACGAATACATTTATCAGTTAACGGGATAAAGCTGAATATATCACATTTAGAAAAAAATGGTATGATAGTAGTTTTATCTTCTTTTCAATAAGGAATTAATATTTATTTAGTACCCAAATAAAAAAGCAAGCCAAACAATTTAATAATTCATGAATTTAATTCTTTGGATCTTTTCAAAAGCTTTATCATTGAAATGAAATTTTCCTTTATGAACCTTTGTTTATTACAAATAAAGTTTTTTTAACATATTCTATTTTCAAATGTAATTAATCTTTGTCATTCTTGTCATCAGAAAATTATTCATTGTACCACCAAGAAGAAAAAAAAATGTGATGAAGGGTTTCCTAAATGTAAAAATTGAATTGAGTTGTAGTATGAATCCTCAAAAATTCGGTATAATGTATTATGTGAATCGGTCAATTGACCCATCATACTTTAAATTTGCATTCATTATCAGTTATAATTTGTTTATTATTATCATGAATACCACAATTGATTTCAAATTTATATTTTGTATTTAAAAAAAGGAGTACCTAAATACAGAAGGGTCCAGATATAAGAAATCCAGTCATATGAAATATTGGGAAGAAATTTCAGGGATCACCAAATTTTTTATATTATGGGTAACACAAAATGGTATATTTAAATGCTGCGTTATCTAATTCAATAAAAAAAAAATATGGAATCGAGTATTGATTTAGGTTTACCGGTCACGAAAGACACCAATCCCTCCAATAATTCATCACAAAATTCTATAAAATCCACAGAAAAACCAATAGGAAGGAGGGTTTCAGGTTAGTAAAGATTCCATAGCTAAAACGTTAGTAATAAGATTAGCAATAAGAATCAATAATAATAATAACAAAAGTATCTAAAAGCCATATAACTATGTGTGTGTAGGTAAGCCATGGAAATATCAAAAGACAGCAACACGAAGATCACAACTTCCAAAAGTTTTACGTAAAAGTTGGACAGAGCGAATGAAGGAAAAAAATGAACGAATAGCTGTAAAATTACTGGAAAATGAATTAAAAGATAAAGTTGAATCAGAGAAAAAAGTATGCTTTAAAAGAGTAATTTTTTTCACATTTTGAAAACAATTATATTAACAAATTATATTATTATTGTTGTTGTTGATATAATGAAGCGAAAACAAGAAGCAAGATTAAAAAAGAAACAAGCATTGGAAGAAAAAGAGAGATTGGAGAGATTGGCTACAATGGTATATTGTGATTTTTATTCCTCTCTGATTTCTTATTTATTTTCGATTGAAAAAAATTCCTAACAATAAATTAATTGATCGATTAGTATTCAGTAAAAAAGTTGCAAAGACTTAAAAAAAGAAAAGGATTAAGGAAATAATAATTTATTAATATTATTTATTATTCATCGTCTGAATTAATCATTAAATAGAAATTGAATTAATTAAAAAATATATCAGGCATAAATTACAAAATCTATACAATGAATATAATATCTTTTATGCGCATTCTTCTAAAAAAAAGGTCCACTAATATTTTATATCTTATTTATAATTGATATAATTGATATAATTGATATCATTAATTGTTGAATATCCTCAAATTCTGCTTCAGAAAACAAATTTCTTTTATTTTATCTTATTGCCCTCCCTCCTCCCTCATCTTCACTTTCTATATCCTCTCGTACAGGAATCGTAAAAATCCAACTCCTATTTGAAAAGCATCTATCATCAAGTTTTGTGGCATGGAAAAATTTGACAAACACTATAGAAAACAAATAATAAATAAAATGATTAAGAATTGTTTACTCGATGCGTTTCCATTTTCTGATTTGGAGCCAAAAAAGTTCTGATATCAAAGAGCTTTGAATTTTCCTTGTTTATTTGGAGACTATAGGATATCTTGTACATATTCTATCCAAATATCGTTACATCGTTTCATTAAAGACTTATTTTGATGAACCATGAATAAATACTGGCAAATCATCAATCAAAATATTTATTTAATATTCCATTTTTTAAAGCCTCAATCAATGTTCATTATTGTACTGCGATAACTATGAAAATTTGAAAGACATAAAAACTGACTCGTAAACTTTTTTCTAAAAGAAAAGATTAATAATAATAAGCAAGAATACCAATTTTAAAGTATTTGAACCGACGAAGGAAAAAAATCTTGAAGTCACTCATTAATCACCCACATTACTTTGATATACAGTCCAATTTATAATATAATTCACTTTTTAGAAAATATGTTAGATTGAAGACCCTTTAATACTGGTAAGCGAATAAATACCTTGTAATTGTGTTCTTTATTACTTTCTTAACAATCTAGTTTAGATAAATTATAAAACACAAGGCAGAAATTGTTATGTAAAAGTTCATTATTGGATTTTCGTTAGTATTCCTGCACAGTTTATCTTCTCTAACAGTCAGTTCCTCTTAAATATCATTACAAAAAATTTAAATCCAACTTCATAAAGAAGATGATCTGTCGATAATTTTTAAGAAAAATAATTAATATTAACTAATTCTAGAAATCAAACTTGCCCAAATTATAAAACTACCTAATGTTCAAAATCCAATAATTGACTGATCGAAGATCAAAAGATCAAATTTACTTTTTTTTTCCCCAATAATCCATCATAATATTAAAAATGTTAAAATCAGTTACAATTTACAACAGCAGTTACCACCAACAACGCTATATTAGCTACAATAATAATGTAAATAATAATAATAATAATAATAATAATTGCAATTATTATAATTACAAGAGCAATTTTAATTTTAATGGCAACAATAATAATAAAAATTATGCCAACAATACTACTATGAAGGACAATCATCCTAGCTACTCTAATAATATTAGCACTTATTATACCATTAATAATAATGCTCTCACTGACAGCAACGATAATTACAATGGAAATTTCACTGGAGCATATCACCACAATTATAGAGGTGGTAAATTTAATGATTCTGTTTCAATAGGTATAGCTCATGTGAATAAACGATTCATTATTGAATTAGATTCTGATGATGATGGTGATGGTGGTGGTGGTGAAGGTGGCGATGGTGATGGTGATGGTGATGGTGAGGATGATGATGGTGATGATGATGATGATAATGATGAAGTTAAAGTAGGTGTTAAAGTAGATGATGGTGATGGTGATGGTGATGAAAGTGGTGAATCTGGAAATGACAATAACAATAATGATCTTGAATCAAATGATGGTAACGATGGAAATACTTGTGATAGAAGTTGTTCTTCAACAACATTTTTACAGCCACCATCACCTGGAGCACCAAATTACCAAAACAATATCTTGAGAAAAAACTTGTTGAAAGAATTCCCATTAAATAAATACACAGTTGATGAGGTCAATAATTATATCACAAATATAATAAAATGTCTACAAACTGGCCAATATGAATGTAAAATATGTTATAAATCAATAATATTCTACCAAAAAACCTGGACTTGTCAACTTTGTTGCACAATATTTCATCTTGATTGTATCAAAAATTTGGCATCAAAGCAGATCATGGAAACTTATTATTATGGAGAAATTTTTTGGAAATGCCCAGGTTGTGATATATCATCAAAATCATTCCCAGATTCATACCAATGCTTCTGTGGTATGTATATAATGCAATTATTGGGGGGAATGAATTTGAATTTAAGTTTGAACAAGTAGATAAATAAATAATTATTAAATGTTTAAAGGTAAGACCAGGAATCCATTAAGCAAGAAAAATACAACACCACATGGTTGTGGTAAACTATGTGGAAAAAAATGTGATAATAACAGCTGTTCATATGCTTGTCAACAGTAATTATCTTTATTATGATTATCCATTGAATTAATTGTGAATTAAATTACACATAGCATAATATATGTTTTAAAATTTTTCTTTTTTGACAATCAAAGACCTTGTCACCCTGGGCCATGTCTACCATGCACTAATCCTTGCAATAAAACCTTGAAGTAATGTAAAAAAAAAATTTTTTAAATAAATACTTTTCACTCAAAAATAATTAATAACTAACGTACTTAATATTTATTTATTTATTATATAGTTGCGGCCATCAGTGTCAACATACCTGCTCTCATATCGATGGATGTAAATGCAAAACTCAAGTAACAGTCAAATGTCAATGTGGTAGAATAAAATTCAATGAAATATGCCCCGAGGCTGCTGAAAATAGTGGGCAGATAATATTATGTAATAAAGCATGTGGAGATCAAAACATTTATAATGTTAAAAAGGTTAGTTAGTTAATGATTAAAAAATAAATGTTTTAATAATTATTATTATGAATGAAAATATTCAATAGATGCACATTAATAATTAATTTAATTCTCAATGTGATTTTGTTTAGAGCAATGTTACAACATCCAATAACAATAAAAGTAATAGTAACAATGCTAATAATAATAGTAATAATAGTAGCAATAATAATAGTATTAACAATAATAATTACAATGATATCTATACATGTAAACTCGTATGTAGAAAATTGTTAGAGTGTGGCAATCATTATTGTCAGAGATCCAGTCATCAAGGTGATTGTGGATCGTGTAAAGAAGTATCCAATAAGTCACTTGTCTGCAAATGCGGTAGTATAACATTCCATTCGCCAGTACCCTGTGGAACAACATTGCCACCTTGTCCCTACAATTGTGAATCTATTGGTTACATAAAGAAATGGAATAATCATAATAACGGATACACCAATAATTACACCAATAGCAACAGCAGCAACAGTAATAAATCAATAAGCGGTGGAGGTAGCAATAATGTCATCGGCGGTAACATTAACATTCATAGTGATTGATTATCATCGTCACAATCTTACTAATAATATTTACAATAACAATAACAATAATCATAATTATTATAATAATAATTATACTCGTAATAATCATTATAATAACATTCACAATAGTAATATTGGTCATTATCAAACCCAAAACTACTACAATAATACTAGTAAACATAATAACCATTATTATTATTATTACAACAACAATAGACAAAGGGTTAAAGCTTGATCTTTTTTCCTTGAAAGAAAGTATCATAAAATTACAACAACCACCCTTTTTTATAAATAAAATTATTATTTTTTTTTTTGCTACACTCTCTATAAGTGCATCCTATATCTATACTCTGATTTAAATATAAAACTACGCACTCCAGGAGAGTACTGAAACCAATTAATTGTTTATATCATTTCCAAAATGTCAGAAAAAATACACCTGAAATTTACTTAATTCTGATAAACCCGAACATGGTCAAATAATAAAGGCGGAAGCATAGTTCCAAACAGATGGTTTTGACAGGCATCTGTATTAAAAAATAATGATGAACTTGCGAACAAAATTAAATTTTGGTTATTTATTCTAAGCTACAGAATATTTATATTTTTATTATATAGAGAGGAAAGGAACAAAAAATTGTTGATTTTTAACTTCTATTTCAATAATAAAGCATTGTTATGATCAATAGTTATAGTCTTGTTTTTTGGGGGCTTAATTGAATACATAATAAAATAATACTTTAAATGTTATCGAGCATGAATTTCTCCTATCAGAGGTAAATTTTATCCCATTTGTAATGGTGATGGGAATACTAAACCCTGAATGGTGCCTGCAACCTAAAGTCACAATTTCGAAGAAACAAAATGCATAGTCAAGGTAAAGAAAGTAATTACAAGTGTGGAGACCATTTTGTGAAAATTTAAGTTTAACATGTTAAGCTTATGAGCCAATTTTCCTTTTTACACTCTTACGACCAAGTAGCTACTTCTAAACGGCCTTTCTATTTTAAACACCCCTAATTTAATGCAGTTTCACGATATCCGGCTCTTCTATTGCATAATTTATTGATTGTGTGTAGCGTACATGAAACGTCTTAATATACAATTTCAATAATATCAACTAATTATAATTTCAGTTTTTTGACATTTAAGTGAACTTGAATGCGTTGGTGGATTATATTATGAACGGTACGAGCGAAATCAAAATAATAGATGAATTAAAAATCTTCCTTTTTCCATAAGAAAAATTTACCAGCGATGGCCAGTTGGTTGGAGACCCAAACCGAAAACCAAAGATTCTGTTGGAGAAAGAGCGATCTATATCTGCGTGTCTTATTTTTATTAATTAAATTCGATTAGATGAAATTCATTAAACATAATAATAAAGCATTATTATTATTTTACAGTTAATTTTTTTTAAATAAAATAAAATCTTTATATGATATGAAAATATGTCCATATACTTCCTTAATAACAATCGAATTCCCAAAATAAGAATACTACTACATATGTAGCTTTACGTTTATCAGATCAAAACCCCGAATTCTTGTAAAACTTCTTCATGATTTATAATATTTGTATAAGTTACCACAAACTGAATACATAATAATTATTATCATTTATTATTTTCATTTCACGAAAGAAATATATATCTAATCTAAGGCAATATGTGGTGGTCATTATCAAATAAGGGAATCTTGTGTATTGCGAGGTATATTTACGAATTTGATTATTATTATCAATAAAAAAAAGTCAAGTTTACTACTCGAAATACAGCTTTTGTTTCAAATATTCTTTAACTCGAAATCCAGTTTTAATTACTGCCAAGTGGATAAGGGATCTCGTTTAACAATTTTTGGCTTGATATTAAGAAGGAATGGTTACGACTTCGTGTCTGCTGCGCGAGCGGGTTTAATTTTATTGATACATGACAAATCGATTTTACGACTGATGCTTTTTCTGGAAGGATAGGTTTATCATACTTGGTAATATAAAATAAACGTTGTTTATTATGTTTAATAATGAATGTGTAGTTCGAATTCAAGGCAGAAAAGAATGACGACAATGACATTTGTAAATTATGCAATTGATTACATTGCCTACAATAACAGTCAAGAAAGATTTCTGGAAAAAGTAAATTCTCATATTCCATTAAAATCAAATTATTCGCGTTAACAATCTATTTATATTTAATTTCTCGCCTTATTACCTTCTTGTGTAAAAGATCTTTTTTCATGAACAAGGCGTATTTTACAAACATTAAATAAATTTGGTTGGTGGTTGAAAATTAAAATTGATCATTGATTATTTTTTATGCCAAAATAAATAATACTTGGAAAATTTTCCACAAGATTAAAGTAGACGCGTTATCATTTGTTAAAAGAAAATATATAATAATTTTATCTATTGATTGCATTTTACAACTGTTGATTATTAATTATTTCAAAGCCAAAACAAAATAAATACTTGAATAATTTTAATTTATACAAAAAATTATAAAATCATTAGACATTTTTTAAATTTCGAATTTTTAAAAATAACAAATACAATGGTTTTTCCAAAAATTATAAACATAATCTTTAAAAAGTAATTATAATACCTAATAAATATTTTTTTGGAATTCTTAATTTCATTTAACAAAATTTGCATTTGGGTCAATAATTGATTATTATTATTTAATTTATTTTCCATTTTCAAGAATATTTCCGATTTGTTGAAATTGTAAATCAAATCATTTTCTGTTTTTTTTTAGACATTTCAACAAGTTTGTCTTCAATTTGTTGAAACCTTGAATCAATAACATTTTCTGTTTTTTTCAGACACTTTAACAGGTTTGTCTTCAATTTGTTGAAATCTCGAATCAAAATCATTTTCTGTTTTTTTTTTGTACCCTTCAGTAAATTCTCTAAGCTTATCAGAAATATATGGGAGATCTTCTCCATTCTCATTGCTATCATCTGCTTCTTTAATTTTTTTGCAAATATCATCAATTGGTGCATTATAGGATCTAACAAAAAAAATTATTAAAAAATTATTAAAAGGAATTTATCAAATGATTTAATTGGTTAATTGTTATTATTATATTTACAATATATCTGGAAACCAGTTTCTCCAATGACGTTGATTAGGAAGTAAATAAAATAATTCAATTTTCGCTTTTTGAGCTAAAAATGCCTCTTTTGTATTATAATGTTGAATTTCATTGCCAAGCAAACCAATGAATAGATTCATTAGGTATACCACAACAATGAATGAGAATGCAACCACTAATACTGTGAGATATGAATTTTTCTGCAACTCCCAAGCTCCAAATGCACCATTATCTCCTAATAAAAAATCAATTAATTAAATTATTTAAGTTGATTATTATTTTAATGATATATATATAATTAATACCTGTAAAAAAATTATACATTGCCAGAATTGAAGAAAACTGTGCAAACATGTTTGTGTTGGAATCAGGTACAAGAAATAAATCTTGATTATATGAATTGTTGTTTGCAAAATATGTATAATATTTATTAAGGATACTGGCTGCAACTTTTGATGATGGTTGCTACCACTTTTGCATCATATAAAAATGATTGCAACCACCTTTACGACCATTTTGTTTCCTTTTTTGGTTGCAACATGGAACACTAATATTTATTAACAAGGTTCCATGGATTGTTGATATCATCATTGAAATCAGGATTATCTAATGCAATATCTGACTTGGTTTCAATAATAATAAAAATGCATGTAAAAAGCTCAAAATAATTATAAATATTATTGTTAAGAACCAAAAGGCTTTTTTAGCAACTCCTACAATAATGGCAAAATATGCTCCAAATTTTTTAAAAACTCAAAAATAACATTAATCTTAAATCTAATAATAAATTTGATGCAGAAATAAAATGAACTGGTGGCAAATTACTATAATGCAACCATAGAATTGAAGTAACAATTGCTAAGGAGTAGACACTTAGGTCTATTAATTAAATAAATAATAATATTATTATTAAAATTAATAACAAGTAATAAAATGACAATAATAAAATAACACATACCAAAGTAATTCCAGAAATCTGTGATATATTTCAATGGTTTCCAGATAAATTGTCTAACTTCTATTGTAAGATGGATTGCTCCAAGGACAATTGTTGTTCTTAATAACGAATTTCTGTTATTACCAGATAACTGACCCATTGAAATGGAAGTTGCAATAGCAAAGCTTAATAAAAATACTATATAAAAAATCAATATTCCAATATAATATCTGAATCCAAAAGTATTCCATTTATGATCCAAAATTAGTTCAATATTCAAATTCTTGTATAGCTCTAAAGTATCCAACTCAACTAATTCAACGAATATGCTATTATCTGGCTTATATAATAATTCTTTCAATAATGAGTATTTGGGTTTGTATCTAAGTAATCCAGGATATGGAATTATTAATCTTACACAAGGTTTAACACTATTATCATAATAATAGCCTGAAGTATAGTAAAATCTTTTCAATAAATCCAATATCTCAAATCTTCTGAGCTTCATAAAAAAATCCCAAAAGCTTTTATCTTTAGAAATAAAATTTTTACAAACCATTGCAGAGGAAAAAGGTGTTGTTGCTTCCACAATAAAAAACTTTTACCAATGGAAAACAAATCCTAAAAGGAAAACAATAGAAGCAATTCAGAAGTGGGTTGAGAAGAAGAAAAAGGTGGTGGAGAGTGAAGATGAATAAGATAATAAAAACAATGAAAATGTAAATATTAGTAATATTATTATTGATAATAATAAAAAGAATAGCAGTAGTAGTAGTGAAAGTTAGATTTTTGTCAGGGTGCCCAAAGAATAGGTATTACTTACAAATGGCTTTGGGTCCAAGTATTTCCTCCCATGCAGGTGCTCTGACAATTTTTTAACTTATATTTTTGTGTATTTTTTTATTATTGAATAAAAATAATTTTTTTTGTTTAATTCCATTGTCCATAAAAAAAATTTATTAATTCCAAGTCATGTGTCCACTAATTTATCATTGGTCTAAATTATGCATAAAAACAATTAATTTACTAAATTTTTAAATTTTAAAATGGCAACAAAAGAAGAAATTAAATTAGAACGTGCAAATAATAGATTAGATGAGGCAATGGAAGAGCTGAAGAAATGGGAAGAAGGAAAGTATAAGGGGGAGAAGTTGAATGAGTTGGAAGAAGAGTTAATGAAGGGAGATTTGAATGAAAAACAGGAAAAAGGATGGGAAGATAGGGTAAAAGAGTTGAAAGAAGAAAAGAAGGAGTTGAAGAAGGAAAAGGAAGATTGGTGGCAGCTGGTAGTGGAATTGCAAAAAGCATTAGTTGAGTTTGGCAAAGAAAAGGTAATGAACAAATTGTGTAAAAAAATATAATTTTTCATTTACCATTTGTATATTGTTTATGACTTTGACTAACTCATACTTTGTTTCTTTTTTTTCTTTTTTACAGCAGGTAAATATAAAATTATTTAATTTCTTAACTATATAGGCGATTTTGTTTATTAATTAATTTTGTGCTCTGTATGAAATTTTTTTTATCATTACATTTATAATAATCAGTTTATCATATTTAGTTAATTTATACTGATTTCAATTTCCAATGTTCTTATCAAATTATGTTGCTATTGCAGGTCGAAATTTGACAGTTGATAACCTTAAGCAGAAACTTGAACTATATATTATTGACACAGAAAACCAACTTCGTGAATCACTGCATGTTGACTTGATCTATTTACAATGATGTAAATATGTTTATACTTATTTGATTATTTCTAGGATTGAAAATCTTGAAAAATTTTGTGAAATTATAGGAAAGGATTTGATCTCTCTATGTGAAGTTTTGAAAACAATCTTAATTTACAAGCCAAGTGAAAAAACCTTGCCTCTCTTCATTATTAATATTGGTGAGACAAATGCATTTTTTGAGAGAGATCAATCCAAGTCACTTCAAGAACTTTTAAGTATCTTTGCAAATCTCATTGTGTAAAATAATTTTGTTTTTATTTTAACAGGGACTCATGCAAGTTCTTTATTCAATTCAATTGCATCTTCTGGTGGCTGTATTCAAGAAATATTATTACCATTACTAAGTTCAGAACATGCACAAGAAGTGATCTTAGATTTGGCAAATCAAGTAAGCTAAATTTTTGGCATTAAAATTTGCTACTGATTGATCTAGTACTAATCAAATAATATCTTTTTTTTTTAGAATCAAGAAAAGTGAGTATTGATTCATTGATTATGTATTTTATAAGACTTACAAAACTAAATATTTTATCACAAAAAGCAGGAAGATTAAGGAAATTTCTCCAAATCAAAACATATAATCAATCTTCTTGGTGTTGTTGGTTGTTACCTAGAAATTCTGATATTTGAAATGGATATTATTGGCTTTAGTGCCAAGTCTAATAAAAATACACTTGCAACAAAATTTTATCACCAAGGATATCATCATTTTTTGGAATTTGTCAATACAATCATGATCATTGTACAACACTCCTTGGAAGAGTGAAAGATAAATTAAATAGATCTTATTCACATTACTATAATGCATACACATCATCAGATAATATTGAAATTATCACTCAGTTAGTTGCATATACTTTATTTGGGTGGGAAGTTACTTGAACAACCACATTGGGAAAAAGAAAGATTGAGGTAAAATTTCAATGACTTACATACATGCTCCTAGATATAAATTATTTATTTGTTTTATGCTTTTCCCTATAGGATTTGGAAATGGATGAACTGATCTTCTTGAACAAAAAAGCTAGTACTTCCATTTCTCACTTTACAGCAAGTCTATCATAATTTAGATCAAAGCAAGCTACCAGCAATCAAACTTTTCCATTCTGTAGAAAATACACTTTCATCAGATGAAAATGAGGCATTGACATTATCAGTAATGGTTTTTCGTCTTTGGGGGTTATATTGTAAGTCTATTAGTGATAAAAAAGTGACTGAAGGTCAAAGAGGGAAATGTAAAGTTTCTGAATTAGTTCCATTGGAAGGACAATCATATAAATATATTGAATTTCAACCTAAGTTTGTTGTGCATCCAACACCCTACATAGTTGATAAAGACCATTGGAATTAATTTTTTAATGATTATTCTAAAGAATTTAAAGAAAGGTGTATTGCTTTCCACAACCTGCCAAATGCCTCCTTTTCAGATGGGATAATGATGACAAATCCACCTATATTTATCCAAGACAAGCAAGGAGTTATTGGTTGAAAAAAAGAAATTATTGGATGTTCACCAAATATCCTGGATAAAGGAGTTGTAAAGTCTGAACATAAAAAGGTGTTAGATGCAAATGTTGGAGAGCATATCTTTATTTTTATCACTGATGCTCATGCATGTGATGATGAGTCCTATGATTGTAATGAAATTGTGATAACATCAGAAAATAGAAAGGATTTTTATGGAGATATTTTAGCAAAAATGAAACTGTATTGTATTGGATGAAGTTAGTTTATATTTGACTTTAAGAATTTGAAAATTATTATTTTCCCTTTTACAAAGATAATTAATGTATATATAATTGTATATAATAAATATATTAATATATACCAAAAATTTACATGAATCATCATTATTTTTATATATGGGGTGTGTTCAGTCAGTCCCCTGCCTTGGTACAAAACTTTTGCTTGTGTGTGAATGTGCCTGGTGCTGTTCTTTGAAACTCAAACATTAGTTTGGAAAATTTTCAAAGCTCTTTGAAACTGGGGTAGACACTATTAAAAAACTTCTTCAAATTGGTTTCAAAATGCGCTAGAAAATGGCCAGGAGTTCAGAAAGGCAGTTCTAGGTGTGCCCTGATAAAACAGCATCCCAATTTGAGAATCTTGAATCAATTTCAGACTACAACTTTTTGCTAGCAGGTGGTGGGTGATAACTCATGGATGCTGACTCTCGTCAATAATCAATGCTCATTTGGTAACAGCCAAACATGGTTTTGGTATTATTTATTGCCTGGATGTAATTTATTTATTATTCCTATGTAAAAAGAAATATATACATAATTATAATAGGAACATAACAGAGGGGTCTGATTCATTTCGTCGACAGTCATTTCGTCGAAAGTTTGTTTCATCGAAAGTTCATTTCGTCGAATGCTCATTTAGTCGAAAATTATTTCGTCACAAAAAAGAAAACTTCATTAAACAAATTTCTCCTCACACTTCCCCACTTTCCTCGCCTAATTTCTTAACTAACTTTCCACATTCCTCGCATCTAACTCGTTCGGTCACTGGATCGAGGATAAAATAATTTTCGACGAAATGAACATTCGACGAAATGAACATTCGACGAAATAAACATTCGATGAAACAAACATTCGATGAAATGAACATTCGACGAAATGAACATTCGATGAAATGAACTTTCGACGAAATGGGTGTCGACGAAATGATTGTCGACGAAGTAAACGGGACCGATTTGGAAGTATCCAAAATAATTACAAGTATCCAAAGTTATTACGAGTATCCAAAATAATTACGAGTATCCAAAATAATTACGAGTATCCAAAATAATTACGAATATCCATAATAATCACGAGTATCCAAAATAATTACGAGTATCCAAAATAATTACGAATATCCATAATAATCACGAGTATCCATAATAATTACGAGTATCCATAATAATTATGAAATAAATTATATATATTCGAATATCCTTGAATAAATTGATTTTCGAATATTCGTAAAAAATTTGGTTTTCGGTTAGGAACACTATATAAGATCTTAGAAAGGTTAATGCTGAAAGTTACAAAATTTAACAAGGCGGTAAAAAAAATGTCTCTGGATTTAGCCATGTCTTGATTTACTGCATGAAAATTTGTATGTGTTTTTGAATAATAATCTCTAATTTAATGTCAATAATAAATAGATTGTTTTTATTTATAAAAATGTCACCAGCTATACACTTTTTTTGGTCGTCGAATGCTGTGCCGAGTGTTTAATCCAAAAATAGAAATGGTATTCTCTGAGGTCTCAATCTTATATAATCACATGACTCAATCATTTATCGTTAGCTGTTAGTATTAATATTAATATTAGTGTTAGTGTTAAGATATAAATTTATTCGAATAATTTGTTTTGTTCGTTATAAATTGGAGTTTTCGAATTACATTTAAAGTTGATTCGAATAAACGAATAAACAAATAAAAACGAATGAAACGAGTAATTCGAATTAGAATAGACGAATAAATAAATGATACGAATGATATGAAAAATTCGAATAAAACGAAACTATGATATTTGTTTGAGCATCAAAATTAGCCAATCATATTATTATTATTATTATTTAGTTTTAACGACAGTGACATTTTATTTTACATACGAATATACGAATTAACGGAAAGAAAGTTACATAGGAAAATAAAAAACTAATTATAAATGCACAATTCCTCCTCCACCCAATACTAAATGCATAATGACTAAAGAACTTAAAAGTTCAAATATTTTGTTTTTGTTCTATAGTTACGTGTTTCGTATATCTTTTCCTAAATAGGAAGGAACATCATGTGCCACAATCTTGTATATATACCCCTTTTTTGATCTACACAATTCATTTAACTTTTCTCAAAAGATGTTTGCAACAGAATACGAAACTTCTGCTTCCTCTCAGAGTTCTCGTCGAAGTTCCTCAACCTCTTTATCTAATTTATGTCCAGCTCTAACTGCAGATGAATTGGCGCTTGCAGAATGTATTGAAGTCATTGAAGCTGGAGTGGAAGATGTCATTATTAACAAAGCCAATGAAAAAGAGAAAAAATGGTGGATTGATGGAAATTACAAAATTATTGATGAAAAAAGGTAAGGCGTAACACTTCATAAACCCTGTTTATACTATCTATGCTAAAGTTAGGTCCATTTTATTAGACTGCCCCTGATCCTTGTAGAAAATGTAAGCTACAAGGAATTTGAAAAGAAATGTGAAAGAGCAAACGCGTCAAAATTCTGGGAATACGAAAATGGCATTGTCACTATAATTGAGTTGCCAAAGAGAGATCATGAGATTGCACATGGTGAATTCTCTTATCAATTTTTATCTGCTTTTCATAATGTGCCATATCAAGACCGAGTCAGTGAAGTTGGATCAACAAGTATGTACTTTTCAGTATTTAGTTTGCAGGCATATATTATTATATCAAACCTAACTCAGTTGTATTCAGCTTGTTATACTTCAGGAGATGGTAGACGAAGGGGAACTTATAAACAGTCTGATTCTTCATTTGTACCAAGCCTTCTGCCTAAACCAGCTCAATATCCAAGCGATTCTGAGGTATTGTTTCTTGAATTATATTATTAAGAATACAAAGATCAATCTGAATTTGTAATGGTTTATAGGGTAACCCTTGGCCGACTGTCATCGTTGAGGTGGCTAATACCCAAACTTTTGCAAGTATAATCCAAAAGACCACTCAATTCTGGTTGGCTCCAAATCGAGTAGAAGATGTTATTATATTAAAATTATGGCATTGGGATTCAAATAGGGATCAAAATGGAACCCCTTTACGCCGTTTAACAGTTCAGTATTGTTTTGTGGTGTCATTTCATTTATTTCATTGCCTAATAATTGTCTTGTGTTTTGGTAGTGCTATAAATTCTGTCGTCAAACAAGCCTTCAAGTGCATGGGAATTACCAACCAACTCAAGTGGTATGAATTAGTGCATTTATAGTAGTTGATTTCTATTTGTTTCATTCACAATATCACTTTATGTATTCATTTTTTCAGATTGAATTTGGAACAATTGATAGAAATCGGCAACCATATGGAGGATGCTCTGCTCCGGGAATGCGCACTTTGAGTATTTCACCTCATTGCATTTACAAGGGCTGTGCTTGTCGAAATCCACCACTCTCACCATACCCAATTGCAAATAATGTAATCATTGATTTATTTTATATTCAGCAGGCAATATTTAGAGTTATGTAAGACTTTTTAATTAGTAATAGAATTTTTACAATAATAGAAAATATATAAGATGGTTGGCTAAGATGAATGAATTTTCAAAATAAAATTAATATATCAGATATTAATATGTGTGTATTGGGTAAAATGAGCTTGGATGCAAAAAATACATGATCAATTTTAGTTTATCCCAGATATATCTAGCAAAAGTTTCAGACACCCCAAATACATTAATTACGCAAAAGCGTACATAATAATTATGCGAAAATTTTTATATTTTTTTGGATCCTAGTATTCATGTACTTAAATATAAAATTTTAGATCCCCAGCTTTATACAGCTCAAATAATAATAATAAAAAATAAACTCCGAACATTTTTGAAAAGAAAAAAAAATAATTAAAAATGATTTTAAAATTTTATCAAATCTTTAAAAAATTGATTGAAAAAATACTATCCAAAGTTATGTAAAGATTTTTTTTCTCAAGAATCAGATAAAATTAAATCATCATATCTGAAAATCTCATAATATGTTATTATGTAGGTTTTTAAAAATTTCCATGTCAAAATTTTTTCTTTCCAAAAATGATTGTATTTCTTTTATTTTAATTGCTCGAGTTCTAGAAAATTTAGTAACATAAGATTCTATATACATAATCTTTGAAAGCT